TTTTTTTTTTTTTAAGTTAAACGTGCACCTACCATATTACCCAGGTATTTCTTTTTTTTTTATTAAGTTACAAACACACAGATCATGTATACATTAATGCATTTATGGGGTACAATGTCCTGAAATTTACCTAAGAGAAAGGAAAACAATGTGTCTTCAGGAAGACTTATACGCAAGTGTTCCCAGCAGTGTTATTTGTAATAGCCAAAAAACTGTAAATGACCCAAATGTCCTTCAGTAGGTGAAGGATAAATAAATTGTGTATCCATACAATAGAATACTATCTAATATTAAAATGTGAAGTTGTTGGTTCGGCGCCTGTAGCTCAAGTGGCTAAGGTGCCAGCCACATTTACCAGCTGGCAGGTTCAAATGCAGCTGGGGCCTGCCAAACAACAAAGACAACTACATCCAAAAAATAGCCGGGCGTTGTGGTGGGCGCCTGTAGCCCCAACTATTTGAGAGGCTGAGGCAAGAGAATCGCTTAAGCCCAGGAGTTGGAGGTTGCTGTGAACTGTGATGCCATGGCACTCTACCCAGGGCAACAGCTTGAGGCTTTGTCTCCAGAAAAAAAAAAGAAAGTAAAGTCATTGCACATGATGAATCTTAAAGTATCTTGAGTGAAAGAAGCCAGACTAAAATCTGGCATGCAGACATACTGCATGATTCTACTCATATAAAGTTCCACATACAGATCTCTAGTTTGTGAATATATTTCACTGTCTGGCTTGCCTTTTCATCTTCTTAACTAATCTATAGTTGCCTTTTCTGGAATTTTATATAAATGGAAATTAGATTTAGTGGTTGCCTAGGTGTAGAGTTTCAGATTTCAAGGGGTGTTTTGGGAAGTGATGGAAATAACCTTGCATATGGTGATGGTTTAATAAGTGTATATGTCAAAACTCATCAAGTTATATACTTTACATATATGCAGTTTATTGTATATTGATCATGCTTCAATGAAGTTGAAAAACTTAAATTCAGTAGAACTAGTTTTTGCTAATTACTCTTAGAGCTTTTTAGGTTATTCTCACATTACTTTTTTTTTTTAAAATAAGTGTCTCACTA